TTTCCTAGAGAATACAAGGAAATGGAGTTGAATACATTCATCTAAGTGCACGAATTTAGGCGACTTAGACAAGAATGACTGTAACTTTGTATCTAAACCTTATTACAATGAACTTCCTGTAGGCATTTGCTTGATTCATTTAAACCTTGAACTGTGCATGAAATAGTTGCCACAGATCTTTGCTAACTTATTGACATGAGCTGTAGGTTCCTCCAAATACATGAACTGTTTGCGACCAAGTTCTGCTCATTTGCATATATGAGAGTGTACCTTAAGTTGGCATAATAATAACTTGTATTATGTCTAGTTTCTACTGATTATTTCCCTCTTCTTAATATAATCATTTAACTAAACCTTCCTACTAATGGACACCACAATGATTGTATTAAGTCGATATCTTGATTCTTCTTATTTTTGTTTTCAGGTCTACAAATTCATAAATGCAGGTAGCAAGCAGTATCATAATGACATAATCTAAAACAATTTAAACTAATCATAAGCAGATCTGGCTTCTAATTTGCTTGGCATCTTAAGTTCATTTCCTGAATATAGCATACCTCTTGATATTTTGTTGCAATTTCAGAAATGACATCAGAATCTGGTAATAAGAACAGCAAGATAAAAGTGCATTGTGATTTTTCTTCCATTTTTATGCATGCTTTATGCCAAAAGGTAATTAAAAAATTGAAAAGAGCCTTTTAGCTTCTAGATTTCGGCTAAGTAAGAGTCGTGTAGTTTTAGGTAGTTCATATCAAGTCTAATTAAATCTCGGTTTAATCCGATTGTAATGCATCAGGCGGTATCTATGTCATGCTTGCATCGATATCACATTCTTGTACTTAATGATGTATTGAGCAACTATTTCTGAGCATAAACTGATCTCCTTCCAATGCTCTTAGCAGGTGGTTAAAGCTTAACTTGAATGTTTGACAAGCTGTCTCTTATCAATGAGCCTTTGGAAAGCTTCTCTCAAAGGAATTGACCTCTCCATGGATCCATAGCAAGTGTTCACCTATCTAGTATCTGTAAATGTTTGTCAGAAGCCATGGCTGAGTTCACAGCAAGGTTTCCCTGAATCCAGACAAGACACAAAGGCCTGTGTTGGTCTGCTACAAAGATAGATATAGCTTGTGAAGTGTGGGCTTTTCTTGGTGACAAAGAAGGCATTTGCACCAACCATGTGATGATGACAATGCTTACTTGGCATTTTGCAGGCACTTCATTGCCAGTTGCTGTAGGTGGATCACACACTGTGCTACATGAACAGAGAGCAGCAAAAGAAAAGAAAGCAGTGTGAAGTAGCTTATTGCTGTAGATGAGATCACATATTGTGCTGCAAGAACAGGGATGAGGGAAAGAAAAAAAGCCATGTTAGAAAACAGTGAAAGTGCTCAGGCCTATGATCACTGCAATCTCTGCATATTGCTGAACATTTGGGCCATTCAAAGAAGAAAAAGAAAAGAGCCCTTTTTTTCTTCCATGATGTAAAGTGAATTATCAACAGTAAAAGAATTCAGAAAAAGTGAAATATCAGAACTTTTGTGGGTGATTGTTCCATGAATGCAAATTGCAATACCTCTTGGGTTCATTGTAGATAGTAGAGACAGAATTTGTTTGTGTCATCATCTATATTTGTTCTATTCTTTTCCTTCATTTGATTTGTTTTTCAATAATGAGAAACCAAATGTTCCAAGTATTTATTGTCAATCAATTTTAGCAATAACTGATAAGAAGATATTTGAAAACACCAAACATTTCAATCATTTTATTGTCAAGGAATTGATTGATATCAAGAAAAACATTTCATTAAGTCAGATGTGTGACAAAATGAAAATTTAAATTTTTTTTCATTCACAACTTGCCAAATCACTTTAATACATGCTAAGTTTAATCATTATGATGACAACAAACAAGCTATCATATCAATCATTAATAGATTAATGCTTTCAGATTACACCAGCAAGCTTTGCTTAGGAGAAATATAATGATTATCCACAAGCATTAGCATAGAAAACTTTGAAAGGTGTTATACTACCTATAGAATGTATTAATATCTAAAGCACCTTGTATCACTATCATTTATTTGATTATCATATGTATTATTTTAAAAGGCATACATTTATAATATATTTTACATGGATATTATGTCAATTAAAATTCCAACAATATTATATCTGATGGTTAATTTAGGGGAGATTAATTTTATTGACATATCTATAAGATATTTTTTTGTTTTATAAGGACAAAAAAATGCTGCATCTAAAATTAGAAAAGTCAATAAACTTGTAATCATGATTAATTATAATTAACAATAATATATATATATATATATATATATATATATAATTTTATTAGGAGTTAATTGAGCCCGAATTGAGATTGTTTTAGGCTAAGTAAAAAGCTCATTCAATGACCCATAGTTGGCATAGGTGATAGCACCGTTAGATTAGGTGGTAGTACCATTTAGATACAGTCTTCCATATTGTGTTAGGCGGTGATATTGTCATACTGGGCGATGGTACCGCTCAGTATCAGACTAATATGTGATAGTACCACCAGCTCAATCTGGTAGACGGTGGTACCGTCCGGTAATGGCAATGGTACCATTATGACTTGGGAAACCCGAAATAAGACCTTTTTTTTACTCCATTTTTTAAGCCATCTAGGGTATATAAATATCATAATTATTTTTTTTGATAATATATGAAATTGAGTAGAAAAGAAAAAAAATATATACTTGAGAAAAAAAATATTATAATCTCTCTAAAGTTAGTGAGTATCTTCCTCCTAGAGTTAGAAAATTTTTAAAAGGATAGTGAGGTCTAAAGAGAGGTGTAAAAGTTCTCTTCTGTCAAGGAGAAAGAGTTATAAGGATAGTTGATATTCACCCGTTGGAAAAAAGATTGGTAGTAGAAGCCGATGGCCTCAAGTGAAGAGGAATCGAGAGTGGATATATGTCATGTTGATCGAACCAATATAAATCTGGTTTGCATTTACTTTATGTTTTTATTCATATTACAAACTGATTTATTTATTCACTACACTTACGAATGATTTAAAGTTAAAATTTTTTTCGATATCGGATTTTCAAATCGATATTTCTTACGAAAGCATTAATTCACCACCTCCCCCTAGCGTATAGCGTCGATACGGTCATAACAAAAATGTGATAATAGAAATTATATATTTTCTCTTATATCTCTTTAGTCCTTATTTTATGATATATAATAGTCCTGTGAAAAGATAAGAAAAAATAAAAAGATAGTTTGGTTTTTCTTTAAACGGAGGGTTTCAATCGAAACAATCGGATACGTGACCATCAAATATGTGAAGAGTTAACGAGCAGTGTGCAACTGCTAATCGATGTTGATTGTTTCAGCTTTTGCGAATGATCAGAAACAGATGAAGTCTAGTTTTTCTCCATAAAAAAACATAGATTTATCACCAAAGTAATAACTTTCACATCTACAGTTTCGTTTTGTGTGCTCTTAGTTCCTGCAATTGCTCACCAAAGTTATATATATATATATTAGGATTCCTACTTCTATCATCTATCTTGAGAATATGGATTCCGGCCTCCATCATCCATCTATTGTTTAGAAACCGTACGTGCTTGCTATGCAATCGTGTGAAGGAAGCACTTGTAGCTGATGGTAAGCTCGATGCCTCTTCCTTTGTCTCTATATCTGAGACCTTGTGCCCGAAGACATTCCCTTCTATATAAAAGATTATGAATCATATGCAATTAACATAGACCAACCCTCTCCGAGGATGGTGCAGAAGAACATTAAACCTTGAAAGGCTTCAAGAAGCCTGATGCAGTTTATATGTACATGGAATTAACATCGACCAGCCCTCTCCGAGGATGGTGCAGAAGAACATTAAACCTTGAAAGGCTTCAAGAAGCCCGATGCAGTTTATATGTACATGTAATTTAGATCTATGCATGCTGATGATATCTTCCAAGCCTTCTCGTGATGCAGTGTGCCATGAAGAATGCTTCAGCTTGAGTCAACAGGCTCTCTCTCTGGTATTCCATGTACTGGTTGGCTTCTTGGACCGCAATATACCATTGTCATGTTTGCTACATTTGCATAGAACATCCTTGCTATCAACTATCTTGATGTCTCTCATTCTAATGCCAAGACTAGAATGACATCTGAAACCTTCAAGCAGTTCTTCCCTGTGAAGTAATAATGACAGGCTTTTTGTTGACTATTATGATCCTGATTCTAAATTCATTGTGAATCATGTAATTCTAAGAATAATTAGTCTATTTGGCTCTCAATTCCACTGTTGAAATGTTCATAGATTAGACAGCACAACACTCAAACTTACATGAAGTGAATTGCCTACTTACCTTATTATATGTTCATGGATGAAACCCAGCAGTTGCTTAAGAATGATTATTTTTATAATTAATCTTAATTTTTTAAATGAGTGTAAATGGGAGGTGTATATATATGCATGTGTATTCAGGATCATAAATTTACTTTTCTGAAGAATATATATATATATATATAAGGGTAAATACAGTATTTTTAAACCTTACAAGGATATATGTGTAAAAAGCGCTAGGCATATTATCAACTCCAACCGGCACGTGCCATCTCTCCTTTTATTGAAGTCATGGGCGAAAGCATATGTTACCAGGATAATTGTATCGACGTCGATATTGATATAGAGCGATGAAAGGATTATTCGGGTGGCTTTTTGGATGAGAAGAGCAACCGTAAAATGTGAGAACCGTTTTACATTCATATCGACGACGATATAATTATCTAGCGACTGTTTTATCATTTTATATTTGTGTTGACATCAACGTACATATCGACGAGCACACCTTTTATCACTCTGTAATTATGTCTGTAATTATGTCAACATCGATTCTCATCTCTCGTTGTTATAAAGTGATCGTTATAAAGTGACAATCATCAGAACGATCCTTTCGTTGCAATTAGCGACGTCGGAAAGACCGCAGACATAAATACATCTACATTTGCGGCTCCGATTCCCTCCCTTCCTCTCGCCCTTCCGTTCGGCACCCCGAGGGCGAAGAAGGCTTCGCCAACACGACCTCCATCTCTCCCCGCCTCTTCCACCATTCGCGGCGCCGATTGGGTGGCCAGCTTGATCGCACCACTGCTCAGAGAGAGAGAGAGAGAGAGAGAGAGAATCCGAGGTCTTTTGGCGAGGTATGCAGACTGATCAGGCGGTCATCGGCTTGAGGCCCGGCGGTGGAGGGAGGACCAGAGGCAGCAGAATACTCGCTCCACGGTTCGACTCCGCCGCCTCCGATCACGCCGTCCTCCGCCCACACGTAGGTGCCGGCGCCCCGCGTCCCGCTCAATGATTTACTGTGTGATGGAAAATCATGCCCTGCTGAGGAAAATGTTGAGGCAATCGGCCAGTTATTGAACACCATAGGGAAGGAGTTGGATGAGAGAGTCGTAAATCTCGTCGCTTTAATGATGCCTATTTCAGCCGGCCGAAAGAGCTAACTACCGATCCTCAACTTGCGTCACGTCTAAGATTTTATGGTCCGCTATGTGCTTGATCTTTGTGCAAACAATTGGATCCCTCGGCGTGAAGAGGTAAACTTTGCCCTGGTTCAGTTCATGTAATTAGGATGAATTATTCTCAAGAGACTCACAATTGTTGTTGTAGTTTTCTTTGGAATTGATGGCTTCCCGAGGCAGAAAAGAATCTGGGGCCACGCCCTAGTGCGACTCCAAGCATGAGAAGTAGCCGTGATGTTGGTGGTTCAGGAGGTCTTAGTCTTACGGGATATCCTTGGAATTAAACTTATTTAAAAGATGAGATTGAAACTTCTCTCATGAACGCCTGGGATGCCAGGTGATAAGATTGGTGTATCTCTTCTTCTTCTTTTTTCTTTTCTATCAATCCTATCAACAGACGCAATGCTGGTGGTATGATTCTTGGGATGCCTGGAATTCCTGGGTTAGACGATGACCATTGGGAAGTTCGACAAGCGAATCTATGCCCAGAGGTGATGTTAACCGTGTCCATGGTCCTTTGATCACCATCCATCACTTTTAAGCTCTTACCACAAGTTAGTGGTAGCCTGGCATCTGGTAAGACTAGTGCATTACTGCAGGGCAGTGGCCCAGTATCTCGTTCTTCTTGTATTGTTTCAGGCGTATCAGATTCTCCATCTCAAAACTTAGGGCGCCAGAGACCAGTTGGTCAAGAAGTTAGTGGCAACACAAATTTAATCCTAATGAGCTGCATAAGAAAACAGTTCCTCTTTTTGAAGAGTATTTTGACATCTGCATTCTAGATGAAGCACTTCAATGTGTAGAGGAACTGAAGAGCTCAGAGTACCATCCAGAGGTTGTCAAGGAAGCCATCGATTTAGCTCTAAACAAGGGCTTTTCATATCTGGAAGCTGTAGTGATGTTTTTGGAGATTTTGCTGATTAAAAATGTTTTTACTCCAAGGGATTTGGGGACAAGTTGTTTGCTCTATGATGCGATGTAAGATGATGTTGGCATTGATTTGCCAAAAGCACCCACATATTTTGGTGGTGTTGATTTCAAAGGTAGTGGAGGAAATTCTCACAAAGGTTGAAGATGCCAGTTTCCAGTCAGCAATATTCAATGCTCTTTTCAGAATTTTTAAAGCAAGTCCTAATGGACAGGTAATATTGAGTGGACATGTAGAAGAAGTTAAGGCTTGTTGGAAACTGTTTACAATTGTTTATATCTATATTTTCTACTCTCTAATCTCTAGTTTGATAAAGTTGAGTACCATTTATTTTACCTTTTAGGCCTTTTGGTATCCTATGTTTTTGTATGGATGACGAACATATAGTGCAAGTGGTTTTATGAGCAACAATCTAGTTTGTGAGTTGTTCACTGTTGCTAGATTGTTTGAACTTTTATTATTTCTTAAAGATAACTAATGGCAAGGCCATGAGCCATGAACAAAATTTTATTAGTGCTGCTTGTTATGGTATGTCATTTCTTGAATGTTCTGTATTTATCTTGTTTTCAACTATCTTTCATCCTTGTAATGGTCAGTTATACTATATTACCTTTGAGCATTATGCATCTGGGAGATCCTAGTGAAAGATGATTATAAGCTACTGACCATCCTATATCCTATTTCCCTTTGATCTTCTGAGGGTTGAACTATTATATATGAGTGTTTGTGTGTATGTGCATGCATGTATGTTGCGTGGTTGCATGTGTGTGCATGTATGTGTGCGCGTGCTCTTGCGTGTGTGCATACATATATGAGTGTGTTTGTGTATGTGTATGTGTATGTGTGCGAGTGCTCTTGTGTGTGCATTCGTGTGTTTATGCTTGTGTGTGTGCGCATGGTCGTATGTGGTGCTTGCGCATGTGTGCATGCATGCTACCCTACATGCAAGCGAAGATTTGGCTACTATGACCATTCCTTCGCTCAAACTTCAAGCAGCTATATGTGATGATTCTTTGTGCAGTGTGTATGTTGAATGCTTGTGCCAGTTGCAGCAAAATGGATAAACTCATGAAGCTCCAGTTGCTCTTTAAGCTCTTGACAAATGATTGTGGATACGAAGGAAGGAATTGGTGAGTGCATCAAATTGTTGAAATTAATATTCTCATTTAGTTTGCTTTACCTTGTCTTTGCAGATGGTTATACAAGCGCAGGAAGGAGATGCAAGTTCAGATCCATGAGGTCCAGTTTCATACAGATGGTCATGCATGCCTGTCTTATCATCACAGTCATCACCTCTTGTTCTTTTTCTGTAATTAACTGCATTTCCATCAGATAGGAATACAGTTTTCTGCCTAATACTCCATTGTTTATATGATTTATGAAGGCAATCATCTATAACCTGTAATCTTGAGAAGTGTTTCAATCTATGCCAAGACATCAATGATTGTCATGTTGTTTATTCTCCTGTATTAGTTCATGTTGAGTATTCTGAGACAAAGACTTGGAATAATATCTTTTTACCTTTTTCTTGATAGGTTGAACCAAATGCATGATCCTACATGGGCTACTCATCTTCGAATGGAATCAATGGATGGGTAAAGAGACTCATCCTGATGCAATCTTCAGCAACTCTTACTAGGTGAGTAATCTAGCATCAGTTCTGTTTCTGTTACCATCATCATCTAGTAATGGTTTGATTCCTTTTCAGATGATGATAGTGAGGGAGATGTATGGCTTTCTGCTACTTTCCTGAGGCTCTCATCTTCATACTAATATCCTGCCGCCATCACATATTGGTCTGTAAGTCTGATGTCTTGTGATGTTATGTCTCCACTCAATGTTGCAGAAACTCCCAATGTCACACAGAATCCTATGTCTATATTCTCAAATCTGCTGTGATATAGATGCCTTCTTATCATCAGAAAATTCAGCTTGCAAGCCATGTGAAGAATTCCCACCATAATAGTTTGGGACTGTTCACCGACATGCAAAAGGACAGTGATCTGTCTTGTTCCTTCTGTTCTTTCCTGTTCTCTTCTTCTGCTTCTTTGGCACACCGAACACAACTTTACTTCTGTTGAGTGACATCTTTTGCTGATCTATTCTCATGTGCAGGCTCATCACCTACTTTGTTTTTTACCACCCTCGAAGCAAAGAAGAGAAAGAAAAGATCTTTAAACCCATGTGAAGTTCTTGAAACATGACTACTGGAAGAAGATGGAAAGATTCGTTTGTTGTTTTGAGTATCGAACAACTTGGGCTTGAAATTGACGTCGGCTTTTGACAGTGTTCTGCTCAGACTTTTCTCTCGGTCTTTCACCATGTCAGATTCTCTGGATTGGGCACTGTTGTAGCGGTAGTCTCTTTTTCCCTTTAAATTCCCCTTGTCTTCCTCTCATCTTCCCCATGATTATTGCTGTCAAATTGATCCCTAAGATGAAGCCTAATCCTCTGCTCTGTATCCTCCTCCTCTTGTTTCTCCAGGTCATGTGGAGTGTGGCTACTGATATCATCAGCCATGGTGCAGGAGATCAAGCTCGCCAACTGCCCCAACTCCTGGAAGACCTGCCATTACACGGTAAGATGAGGCAAAGAACTGTTCTAAGCTTCACTTTGAGGAATTCTTCATGCAATGCGATGAGTTGGTTGTAGGCCGAAATGTGACGGTGAAGCTGAGCAGTGGTGACAAGTCCGGTGAGGAGAGCGTGGAAGTTGACGGCGGGGAACGGCTGAGCCACTCGAAAAAGAGTGGTACTGGTGGCAAAGGAGGGAAGGGTGTCGGCGGCGCAGGCTCTCAATCTCTCCGGCAGCCACGGTCTCGGAAGAGCGGCTCCACATCCATGCGACGGCCATACGACTCTCTCTGGGGAATTGGTCTGCCTTCCCTCCTGCTTTGCGTTGCTTTAACCTGACTTCTTTGGTATCGCAAGATCGATGAATAAATGGAGTGTTTGTATGACTGCATCTAATCTATGATTGTGGAAATGTCGACGATGATGATTGAAAGTTTGTGATTAGACTTTAATGATGAGTGAAATGAAAAGGGAAAAAAATGTTACAATATTAAATTAAATATTGTGATTAGATAAGACATTGATTTAACAGCCCATGAAAGACGACGAAGAAAAAATAGTTAGGAAATCAAAGAGACAAAAAGGCGTCGGTGGTTCTGAACTATTATTATATCTGGGTGCAATCACCGTACTGGAAGCTTACCGCACGCGCATCTTGCGACAAAGAAGCCCAAAAAAAGATTTTTTGGCGTCAAAACCTCTGAATTCTGAAGTCTTATACATACTCGAGGTGATCGGATTCGTGAAAGTGGCTCCGCAACTACATGTGCAAATTAAGGCCGGTCCAATCTTGTGGATGGGCTTCTTCTTCTTGGGCCATTTCGTTAGATGACCGTCTAATATCTGGGTACAAAAACCGATTTGTAAGATTACCGCACGCGCATCTTGCGACAAAGAGGCCCAAAAAAATTATTTTTGGCATCAAAACCTCTTAATTCTGAATTCTTATACGTACCTGCGGTGACCGGATTCATGAAAGTGGCTCCGCAACTACAAGTGCAAATTAAGCCCGGTCCAATCTTGTGGGTGGGCTTCTTCTTCTTGGGCCGTTTCATTAGCTGACTGTCTAATATCTGGGTACAAACACCGTTGTGTAAGATTACCGTACACGCATCTTGCGACGAAGAAGCAAAAAAAAAAAATTTTGGCGTCAAAGCCTCTGAATTCTTATACGTACCTGCGGTGACCGGATTCATGAAAGTGGCTCCGCAACTACACGTGCAAATTAAGCCCAGTCCAATCCCGTGGGTGGGCTTCTTCTTCTTGGGCCGTTTCGTTAGCTGACTGTCTAATATCTTAGTACAAACACCGTTCTGTAAGATTACCGCATACGCATCTTGCAACAAAGAGGCCCAAAAAATTATTTTTGGCATCAAAACCTCTTAATTCTGAGTTCTTATACGTACCTGCGGTGACCGGATTCATGAAAGTGGCTCCGCAACTACACGTGCAAATTAAGCCCGGTCCAATCCGTGGGTGGGCTTCTTCTTCTTGGGCCGTTTCGTTAGCTGACTGTCTAATATCTTGGTACAAACACCGTCCTCTAGGAGTACCGCGCGCGCTTCTTGCGACAAAGAGGCCCAAAAAAATATTTTTTTGGCGTCAAAACCTCTGAATTCTGAATGCTTATACGTACATGAAGTGATCGGATTCATGAAAGTGACTCCGCAACTACACGAGAAAATGAAGCCCGGTCCAATCTCGTGGGTGGGCTTCTTCTTATTGGACCGTTTCGTTAGCTAACCATCTCGTGGGTCAGGCCACATTGGCCCATCTCCTCCAACCACTAAACTGAAATATGAACACCGTCTCGTGTGCTTACCGCATTACACACTGGGGGACAAACCGGGCCAAAAAATTATTTTTTTGACTTCAATTCTAGCAGTTCTCCGTTCTTAATCCTACCTGAGGTGACCGGATTCGGATGTTGCCAGTGTCTTGCGACGGTCGCCGGTCACTTCGGTTCTTCCTGCCGCCTCCGACGTCGCTCGGTCTCGCCGTCGCCGAAGAAGATTGAGAAGATGAGTTGTGCGGGGCTGATGGCAAAACAGATCTGCAGCAGTAGTCATAACTAAAGCATTGTCGTAAAAGACACCGAACTCTGCATGAGCAGATTGACGGATAAATGAACTATGAAGCAAGAAGTAAAATTGGATAGCTCATATATAATTTTCTTTCACAGTTGATATCTTTCAACAAAATGTAAGATAAGATTAGTTCTGAAGCCTCCACCTCAACAGATGGATTATGTGTTCCCTCAAAATTAAGGAGATTTTATTCAACATATAAATTAATAAATGAAACATTGTTATCCCAACATCATTCTCTACTTTTGTGGGGTCTTATTATCCTTCACATTGGCTTCATGTTGCTCCAAATACTCTTTGCTATTCATCTCTGTTAATCTGGTAAATGACAGCACCATTAGTGACTCTAAAATAAGAAACATTATCGGTAAAAAAATCGATCATTATAACATGAAGAATGTTCCTAATATGTTGTCTCAAGCACTGAAAGAATGTTAAATCTGGTTTCATATTTTTGGCCAATGAATAAATGCAACAGATTATGATTCTTGTATATATGCATTCATATATGTCCTTAAACCATATTACTAGGAATTAGTTGAGTCATACCTGCTGATGGTGCGGTCTTTGGCGAATCCTAGCTCATTGTCAACGCAAAGATCAATATCATCAGTTTTCTTAGACCGTGAAGAAGACCGTGGATAAATTTTCTGGGCATCCATGACTGTCACAATTCTTTCAAATAACTCAACAGGAGATGCTTCTGCCGTGCACAACAATCTGGCTTTATTCTCATACATCACCTGTTGAAAAGAGATATTACTATTTTTTTTAACCATCTACTTCAATTACTGGTGAACACTCGGATCAAAGCATGAAGAATTGTTTCTCTAGCAAACCATCACAGTTCCTTTTTCTATTAACTAGATCACCACCGCTTTAATATTGATATCCACACTCACACTCTACAGTCCAAATTGTCACCTATTTATGAAGTATGTGCATAAAAAACATTGATAATTCAAAAAACATGCAGAAATATGTCAAATATGATATTCTTACATAACAAGTCAATCTCACAATACAAAAATGAAAATTGTGCTCATGTGCATTACAATTCAGATCTCAGAATGCAATGGATAGCAACACCCTTATTATATGGATAACCATGAGTCGCCAACATAATCTATCAAGTAAATTCGTCATTTGAAAAGCATATTACTTATTCATCATAACTAACAGATGCTAATCATTATTTAAACATTCACCATGAAAAAAAAGTGACCAAGTTCTTGTATAAACAGCCAGCCACCACTAGTTACTTCCATTCTAAATCAATAAACCTAAAAACACCTGGCCGGAATAAAAAATTGGACATCAGAAAAGACTGTCTTTATTTTCCAGTAACTTGTTCAAAACTTCAAACTAAACAATCACTAGGAGATATCAAAAGGCTAATAATCAGTCTAACCTATAATTTAGATTCATATTTATGCTCTATTTTTAACTCATAACCCTACATCAGAGACATTCTTCTTCTTCTTCACAATCCTTTTCTCTTATCAAACCTTTCTCTTGTTGAGATATCTGGTTAAACACGTTAGAAGAAAATTCCAGAATTTTCAGCATAGCTAATATGGCAAATAGCAGACACTATAGGCTAGATCTATAATCTTCAAATTACAATACTTGAAGGAAAGCTTGAGACGCACATCAACCAATGTGACAAACCTATACGCTGCAGTTCTGTTGTGGATCCCAAACTTGGGAACTCCTTCAAGTGCAAGTGTATGGAACTTCTCTGCACAATAATTTTGAAAAAAATCAAAGCAGGCTATAGGAAATAGTATGTTTTCCAGCACAATAATGAGTGTTATGCCCAAGTATACTACAAATTGCATGTAATTGATGCAGAAGAGGAGTGGAGCTAGCTCACTGAACAATCCAAAGTAGTCTGCTGCCCCCAAAGGTCTGTCACAAAGATCCTCAAAAGGAAAATATGCACATCCATTAGCTCCGAGTGGGACCTGAATGAAAAAAGGTATAAGAATCACCAATCTTCTTTCCTATATGCCATGAAAGACCCAAATGTTATCATGTTTCGAAGATCTATAATTTAGACCTGCAACTTTCGTCCCATTACAACTTCAACAACTTGCGGGCCAGGTTTCTCTGCTCCTATTAACTGATGAAACTTCTCTCTTAGGAGTCCAGAGTACTTCCCGATAAAATAGTAGCCATTCTCTGCCTGCATCAAGTGCAATTGCTGTTAGCGGTTGTGGTATCAGGGCATTTATCAATAATAAAGCACAGAACTTACAGAACCCATCTTTCGGTAGTCCGTTGAAGAGCTAATTTCATGAATTACACACCTTTCCTTTCTCAAATTTTCACAAGATCATCATCAGCTACTAAACAATTATATCTTATAAAACTTAAACCAGAGCCATAAAATAACTATCAGATACCTTCAAGGTTTCAATAAAAGGTAAAAATAGGTCCCTTTGCAAACCACCTTCATAGAGCTGGTCTGGAGCACGATTGGAAGTGGAGACAAGAACCTAGGATTGAAATGTACCACATATGGGAAAGGAATAGAAAGGTGAATGCAGTTTCTAAGCAGAAAAAGGGAAATATCAAGGTAAAGAGAAATACACACCACACCATTGCTGAACAAATGGCAAAAAAGCCGATTTAATATCAAAGCATCAGCAACATCAGTTACCTATGTGTTTAAGAATCAACAAAGCATCAAGAGCAATATGAAGAAATGATAACCTATCAATAAATTCAGAACATACCATAAATTCATCAAGGCATAGTAGAATGGACTCATCTGAAATCTCTGCTGCAACAACTTCAAGTGGATCGGCTACCCCTTTGTGCATCTAGTATTAAATTATTGAAGGGCCAAGAACGTCAACATATAATAAGTTAAAAGGGCATAAATGGACTAGTTCTAGTAAAAAAAAGTTTAAGTGCTCCTTAAACCTAGTAAACAAAAAAATTGGAGATAAATATAAAAGTAAACAAAGAAATCTCTGCTGCAACAACTTCAAGTGGATCTGCTACCCCTTTGTGCATCTAGTATTAAATTATTGAAGGGCCAAGAACGTCAACATATAATAAGTTAAAAGGGCATAAATGGACTAGTTCTAGTAAAAAAAAGTTTGAGTGCTCCTTAAACCTAGTAAACAAAAAAATTGGAGATAAATATAAAAGTAACCATACCTGTAGCCGGCTATGTACATTCAACATAAAATCATGAAAGTGTATTCTTTTCTTCCTCCAATTAGATGGCCTGCACAAGAAAAGAGTGGAATTAGGCAATAGCTAAATGAAAATTGTGGATAGACAAAGAATATAGATAATATGAAATTTACTAGCAAAAAGAAAAAAATATAGTGTCACTACTTCATGTTTAGTTTTGTCAGGAACTGATAAGGGGGTACAAATGACAAAGATACTGTAAGCCTCTCAGGTGGTGGACCACTCAAAGCATTAATTACTCTTGGATAGATTGAGGTCTATCTGACCCAAAAACAATTGACAGGATGATAAGATCATACACTCTTGATTTAGCTTAATATCCAGTGTACCAAACAAGTGATGATTAACCATACATGTGTGCATGAATGACCGATTGATGGTTGGCAAAAACCCTATTATTCTGGTATATTGAAGAATCCCCATCAGGTGTAGACCACAATGAAATTGGTGAATGTAGAACATGTAATCTTCATTATAGCAATAGTAGCAAGAGAAATGAAAATCACAAATAGATTTTGTTATATGATTTAATCTAAATGTTTCGAACTATAAATTTTCCAGTAATAAAGAGCCTTACGAGCTATGATTTTCCAAAAGACATAAACATGTTAGATTTATATATTGCAACAAGGAAGAACTCAGAGAAGGCATACAATTGATTGAAAAACAAATCCATAAGCATTGTTTTTCCAGTGCCTACTCCTCCATAAAGATACAGCCCTTTAACTGGTGAATAAGTAGACTGAGGCATAAAACGGGACCATAGCCACCTCCTCCTGCATAATGATCCTATTAAACAGTAAATTGCAAATACAAACAGACAATTCCTTGAGAAGATCAACGAGCTGTCACATTCAAGAAATTACTATCTACGCATACCTCCCAGACTTTTGTGATGACTTATATCTATCCAACTGGCAACTCTCTTCATGCTCCACAAGCTCTTCATAGAGCCTTTGCAGTGCTTGAAGTGTGTCTATCTAATGTCACCATCAAGGAAATATGAGAGCATCCAGTGACAATGAATCAAGCAGCGCCATGATTAAGGGATCAGCGGCCCAAACCTGGAAGCTGTCTCCGCCAACAAGTTCGCCGGATGTAATTCTCTTTTCATACTCCAGCAAAGGGCCTGCTCCGCCAACATCACAAGATCCTATTTATAGTAATAGCTAGATATCAAAATAGAGAACGATTGTTTGTATCTTAAAATAACATAACCTAATAGCCAATGTCCACTGGTATGTAGTAAATAGATAATGCCATAACTGAATACAAGTTGCAATACGCAAACAAACTCTGTTGCAGTTGAATAGGAAACAATAAAACAATGTAATAGTGGTCGTAAGAGAACCTCCGCTAGTACACACAGCCCTGAAGAAAAGCAAACTTTGGTTCAGGTATCTATCGGCTTCTCTGCCGACAAGGGCTCCCACAACCGGATGATTCAAAATGGAAACTCTATTGGTTTTCCCCAGTCTATTCGCTGAAATCTCTCCTCGCTGAAACCGACACAAACACCGGACTTGTTGAAGAAACCGTGCTGAGGTTCTCATCAAAATACAGATGGCAGCTGATGAACAACAACAATTAAAACAGGAGTTAGTGCGAAGTAGCAACGGAACATCGTCCCCACGAAACAAACACGATAATTATGATTGCGATCAAATTCTACACCGACTCGAAAATCCAGAGCTGTCTCATGTAATCGACGATCTAATCCAACCAAGTAGGCAAACCCAACAACGAAAACTCAAGAATCGCACCCATCCGGAGTCCGATTGTTACCGAAAGAGAGCTCCTGGCGGCTGCAATGGAAGAGATCGAGGGGATTCCACCTCAGTCTTCCTCTCCCAAGTCGAGGCGCCGCGAACGAGCCCTAATTTCTACCCTAACGAGTGGCACTGCAACGTCGCCGTGGGAGGAGACACCCTTTGATTAGTAGCACGGGAAGAGCGGCTGTTTACTGGGGGCAACGGGGGATAACACGAGGAAGGCCGCAGATCGTACGGCTGGAATTCGATGCTCGGTGGTAATAAAGAGGAAGGAGGCCCAATCGTACGGTCAGAATACGATGCGGGGTGGTGTTGTCCTCCATCGGTAGTTGGGTGTTCGTGTTCCGGATATCTACGTGGCACTATTTTTCCGCACGTGAGAATTTTTCGAGTGATATATATATATATATATAAAAGAAATGTTAGAAATTTGAAATTTATTATAATAATTTTTTACTCATAAAATGATAAATTTTGTATATTAGATTCACTTATCAAAGGTTAAGAATTTTAATCCTAAATCGAATTTACTTTTTATCACTTACCATTTATATGATAATAATATTAATAGGTATGAAAAAAAAGATAAATCTGCATATGGCGATGGCAGTGCGGAAGACGACGACGTCTCTTCAACTTCCGTCGCGGATCACTTAACCGCTCTGTCAACTGCCGCCCACCACTGCTGCTAAACGGTCAACGTTAAGTTAATCTGCCACGAGACCTCGAATACTAGTCTTCTATACGCCTGAAAATTACGTGCTGAGATGGCCCCGTGCATGTTACGTTCTGATTTGCGCGTAAGTTGGGCGCGTAAGAACAGCTCGTTTTTTCCACATGAAAACAGAGGAACGCCTCCTCTGTTTCATTCGTAGCCGATCATAATAAAACCTGGAGAAATAAATAGATAATATCCATAATTAATCAGTATAAGTGGATGTGACGAGTTCTAAGGACAATGGACAGTGTTTATAGCTTCTCACAGCATTCAAATCACATACAATAAAGGAGCATTAGATGGGCTTATATCTCCATTATTTGGTAATTATGACAGGGGAAGAATGGTATTCGCCTTAAGAAGTCTCTCTCTCATCCTCTGTTTTCTGTATTGCATCGGCTGCCTGCTCTGCTTCTTGCTCTTCTTCTCCTTCCTCGTCGGTGGGTGTGCAGGGGAAGGATGGTGCGGTTGAGCAACGGCCTCATCGGGGCGCTTAACGTCATCACGCTGATGCTGTCAATCCCCATCCTCGGCGGTGGCATTTGGCTGACCCAGCGCGCTGCCACTGACTGCGAGAGGTTCCTGGACGTGCCCCTCGTCGCGCTCGGCGTCTTCGCCTTCCTCGTCTCCCTCGCGGGCTGCGTCGGCGCCTACTTCCGCAACTCCTGCCTCTTATGGCTCTACCTCGTCGTCATGCTCCTCCTCATCATCCTCCTCGTCTGCTTCACCCTCTTCGCCTTCGTCGTCACCAACAAGGGCGCCAGCCACGCCGTCTCCGGCCGCGGGTTCCCGGAGTACCGCCTCGGCGACTACTCCCATTGGCTCCAGAGGAGGGTGGACAGCGCCAAGAACTGGAGGAGCATCAGGAGCTGCTTGGTGCAGGGCAAGGTGTGCAAGAGCTTGCAGAACCAGAACCAGACGTGGGATCAGTTCATCGACGATAACCTCTCCCCTATACAGGTTGCTGCTTCCTGCTCCTAAAAATCCAATCTTTTTCGCTTTTGTCTGCGTTGCTTCTCTGGATTTCGTGTTCTCTCAAGTTCAAGCTTTGATTTTTAGATTTAGGGAACAACTCCCCCTTGGTATCATGTCTTAAAGATTAGATTTTGGTGACAACTCCCTGTTCTTGTTCCATGAATTGTAAGTGAATTTGTTGCTACAGCCACTCCTCGCCGCACTGAGTTTCTAAAGATTTGATTTCTTTTCCTTTATACATCTCTCAATCTTTTGCTCTGAACTACTCTTTTTTCTTCTTCACTGCCTGGGTTTCAGTGTTTTTGCTTTCTGGATAAATCTTCTTGTCTAATTTTAATATATAGATTCTGTCTACATTTTGTTTTCAAATGTTTATATAAGTTCTTAAGATTTGAGGGATTTCTTCAGTTGTCAAATCGAATTGTTATCATCATTTCTTCAGGTACTTTTCTTGAAACCACTTACATTTATGCACTGCATGTATTTACTTTTGTGGATCTGTGGAAGTGACTGTTCTTGTTGAGTCATTTATGTTATTCCCATCAATTAAAACTCCTTAAGCTAAATTCTACCCTTATCTACTGCAATATGTGAATCAAACTCCTATATTCCTTGACAGAATGGAGATGTTCAACCATCCAAGACAAGGGATGGTGATCCCTTGACTCCCTTAATTTGCTCTCTTTTGACAAGCAGATGAATAGATTAGGAAGAATTTACATGGCATATTCTCTGGCTTTTTCACAATCAGATCACTGTTTGCTTGATGAAATGTAGTAGAGATTCTAATTCTGTGCACATGCTTGTGATGATCTCATATGATGATTCCAGGATTAAAATTTGTTGCACAGAATGTATTCCCTCATTGTCCCAAACAATTTAAGTGGAGTTTGCTGCATGCAAAGATATGCCATAAGCAGCACTAGGGGAGACAAGGATGCAGTTAGATTATGCTTTCAATTGCTCTTAGATCACATACATCTCTGTTAGTTGATGCTGACAACTCCTATTTAGTGGATGCACATTCATCTTTCTCTGTGTTTGATCAATCCCCACCACATTCCTGTTGCCTATTTTGAACTGCAAATAATAATAATTCCATTCTCTTGTGGCTAATGAGCACTCATTTTACATGGATTATATTAAATTTAATGTAACTCCAGATGCATTTCAATTCTTTCTTTGCATACTTCTCTAAAATCCTAGATGTTTTTGTATTAATTATTCTCTAGGCATATTTTTGTATGTTTCAATCATTTTTTAGGCATACTACTCTAAGATTTGAAAGCAAATAGGTCTGCATAAATATGTTCTTACTGTTCTTTATTCTGCTTATCCACAAGGCTTCAAAAAGATTTCTCCAGAGCACTACAATGAATCAACAAGTCTATTTCCAGCTCTTGAATCTAAGTATGTGTTGGTGATTCAAGTTTATGAACATGATTTCCATGTTCAACATGCTTGTCTCCTCTTCTTGCTTTTTCTTCTTATTCTCACATGTAAACACACTATGATTCCAGGCTACATATATTTCAGATGGTTTTGATTCAAATAAACTACACAGATAGAATTCATAATGGCATTCGATGTAAACATTATCATCTATAGTTTTTTACTGAGAAGATACATGTACTAACCTTCTTTTCTGCTTGCATTCTGTCATCTTGGTGCAGTCTGGATGCTGCAAGCCTCCAAGTGCATGCAACTTCACCTACATTAATGGAACTGCATGGACTAAACCTCCTGGCTTTTACTCATCCGATTTGCCAGACTGCAACTCATGGCAAAATGATCCATCCACTCTCTGCTATGACTGCCAATCTTGCAAGGCAGGGGTTCTTGCCAACCTCAAGCATGACTGGAAGAAGATTGCTGTCATTAATTTTGTGCTCCTCATCTTCCTCGTCGTCATCTACTTAATAGGATGCTGTGCTTTCAGGAACGACAAGGATGTCTATTGTTAACCTCGGTTTAACCGATATGCTTAGGTGAAGCTCTTCCCCATTTCTGTTCTTGTTTCTGATTCCTTTGTGTTACTGCTCAGGATGCAGATGCCATCTTGTTCCACGTATGAATGGTTGTTGACTTGATTGAGAGCTTCTTGCTCCAATTTATTGCTTCATGTGGTTTTGTTAGTATCAGTATGAGTAGTTTTGATCTGTCCATCTGCTGAGTCTTTTGCTGCTGGATTAGCAGTCATGTCATCAATTGGAAATTGCTGTAGAAGATGAGGTGATTGTGATGAAAGGAAATTAGTGACATCTACAAAACTAGTGAGAGAAAAATGAACAGTTTGTGATGAAAAAACTACTGCAAAAGCAAATACTGAAGAGAGATGTGTAGTTTGTGAAAGGAAATTATTGTAGTACAGCAATTGTGATGAGGTATAGATCTTCTGTGACAGTTTCAGGAACAATGTGATATTATGGTAGAGATGCATCAGCAAGTTCTACCAGATTCACATGATGACATCCATCTTAGAAATTGACAAAGATCACAGGTTGTGCATGAAAGATACCAGAAGGAACCAATTCTGATACATCATGGCAAAGGCTTGTCCTTTTGTTTCTGACACAAGATGGGTTCATGACCAACCTAAGAACATGCATGTGCTTGTGAGACCATGAACAATCATAATGTAGTCTCTCTCTCTCTCTTTCTCATCCTTCAATTCCTTTCTCAGCTGCATAAACTGAAGAGGGGCATGAAAAGACTCAGGCATCATCATCTTCTTTCACCTGGATTTCTTGGTTCACATGCTTCTACAATGTAGAAGCTCCAACTCTCACCACACCACAAGGCAAGTCATGCCTAAGTGCATTGTTCCCAAGAGAAGATAGCCTATGAAAAGATTATGATGAAAATTAAGGTCTTACTGTGAGATTCAGGGGCTTTCGGTCTCCGAATCGAGCAGTGAAAACATTTGAATATATCACAAATTTCGCTTAAATGATCACTGGGTTGAACCTAATCAAAATTTGTAGTTGCTTGCAGCCAGACTAAGTATCAGGAAAATGAATCAGAAAAGTACTGCTTACTAAATGAATTCTCCATTTACAACAAGATAGGAAGCACTCTCCAAGGATAGAGCCAAGCATGGGTTAAGTTTCAGAAACTATATGAATGCATCAAGGATGACAAAGTTTGGTACTTGTTCTTTGAATCTGAGTATTGCAATTGGGATGATCTTAACTATTCTACTTTCAGAAAAGGAATGCAGCATGTTATGACATGAAACTTCCAGATTAGTTGCAGTGAGCAGTAAATTGAATGAACACATCAAGCTCCAGAAATTGAATGAACACATCAAGCTTCAGCCAACAATAGGAATAGGTTCAGAGTTCTGCAATATACATTGTTATACTCATTGCAGCCAAAATTTCTCATATTCGAATACATTTTCGATATAAGCATCATAGTTAGACAGCTACGCGTGCAACAAAAAAGACAGCAGAGAAATTTAATGCAAGCAGATTAAAAGAGAGGCAACAAAACAATCACATTTAAGTGTTGAATGACATGTCAGCTTATATTTCTACAGCCAAGAGAAGAAAGTCCAAGAAAGAGCCTTCTCAAATTTGATCACTTAAAAACCTTCACATACAAATGGTGCCAACACCCAGTACTCTTCATGCTTAATCTCTCTCTCTCTACAAAAGATTGTAATCAAAACCTCATGATGATTATCTACAGTAGTAGAGAACTGCAACCAAAAGCAGATGATGGACGACAAAATGTTTCATCCAATAATAAACTGAATTATTTCTAGTACACACATAATTGTTACACAATCTCGGTATAATTGATATGTAAGGACCAGCTCTCAACTCTCTCACCATAAATGACACTGGACAAACTGTTTATTTTTTTGTCCCTCAATCTTATACAGGTATATTTAGAGAGAGATTGGGTCCTGGCTCAGCAATAGCTTTACATTTATGAGAAGAATGTCTGTGTAATGGAAGACATCAAATTAAGGAATAACAAAAAAGTCCTAACCAGACTTCGAGATGCATATCTTATTGTAAATGGAGCCACTGTTCCTTGTTGCATGCTTGATATCACAAAGAACATGTATCCGATAGCTATCCATGATGGTTATATAGACAAGAATATGTCTTGGATGAATAAAGCATATATGAGTTTAGCATCTTTTCTTTCTTCTCACATCAGACCATTTGCTCCCCTATTAGATCAAGACCCACGAGAAGAAATGATACTCCTTGAAAGAGCAGGAAGTAGAAGTGAATCCCTTGGGCAGAGAGCAGACTTCTGACTGCAGCAGTGAGGAGGAGAAGAGCAAGAGCTAATTCCTTCTTGTAAAGCTGGTTTCCCCTCTTTGCAGGAGGAGGAGGAGGAGCTTCTTCTTGCTGATCCTTCAATTTGTTCAGCTCCATGAGCTCGCTCATTGAAACCCCCCTATGTAGTTGCAAATGGCCTACAGGCTTCGAGCATCTTTCAGCTGCCACCAACAGATCAGATTCTGATGACCTTCCTGCCTTCTTTGTGACAATCCATTCGTACGAACTCCCCAGTTGGAATAGACCGACTACCATAGCGTTGAACTTGGTCACCGACATGGTGTTCTCAAAGAGAAGGTAAGGAACAATGAAAGGGAAGGATCTTGGGGCTGGTAGAATGTTTAGGAACGACATAATAACAGGGATATAGCAGATTACCCAGAGAGGTAGCTCAGCCTCAGGTACAAACATGGATAGTGGTAGAATTACACAAAACAATGTGAAAGAATAAAATGGGAGGATTAGCTTTCTCAAGAGGAAAAAGAGCAGGATTAAATTAGCCTTCTTCCACACAGATATCTGCAAAAGCACAAGAATTGTTCTCTAGAATATATTTCTGCAGTGAATGCATTCAACGAGATTGATAGGCTCGTATTAAGATGACGAACCTTGGATTTTAAGATGGCTGGAAGGCATAGACGGAATAATTGCATTGGACCAGAGTGCCATCTGTGCTGCTGTTTTCGGTAAGCCTCATAAGATTCGGGCACTTCACACAGCACCTGAGCAAAAGGGATCAAACATAAGATGTAAGGCCTGTATACAAAGCGAAGCAACGGATGAATTGTGGTATCTCATGGACCACCTTGACATCGTTGAGGAAGATGAACTTCCAACCATTGAGATGTGCACGTACGGCAATGTCCATATCTTCCACAGTTGTCCGCTCCAGCCAACCTCCAGAGTCCTCCAAAGCTTTGATTCTCCACACACCCGCAGTCCCATTAAAGCCAAAGAAGTTCAAGAAAACACCATTCACCTGCTGCTCGACTTCAAAATGGAAGCAGAGATTAATGTTTTGGAGTCGGGTAAGCAGGTTTTCATCCTTATTTACGAAGCTCCATCTGGCCTGAACCAGCCCAAGCTCGGGATTTCCCTGAATCAACAAAATTTTATGAATAGTAAAATGTTGAGAGTTCACTATATGTCGTATACCGATTATCTGAAATTTTTGTAGCATGTTATCACTACCTTAAAATGTGGAATAGTCTTCTTAAGGAAATCTGGGTTGGGTGTGAAGTCAGCATCAAATATAGCAACAAATTCATAGTCTTTAACATAGTCACAACTCATAGCAGACTTCAGATTTCCAGCTTTATAACCAGTTCGGACTAAACGATGCCGATAGACAATGTTGACACCTCGTTGACTCCACTTAGACACCTCTGCTCTAATTAAGAGCATGATTGTCTCATCATTCGAGTCATCAAGAACTTGAACTAGAACACGGTCTCTTGGCCAATCAATCTGGCACGCAGCAGAAATAGATTGCTCATATACCTGCAAAAGTTTAAATCCAGAATAGGGAAATCATTACTTCTGCAACACATCAAACTGTAGCACCATGAACATATTCGGCATCTGATGCCATAAAATTTATGATCAAAGAAGCTGGAATTGAATAGTATATATACATATATTTGGTACAAATGCAATTATGTGCAGAAGCATCCTTAGAACAAGAATGAAGAATAAGGAGCAACAAAATGTAGATTACCTCTCTCTCATTGCACATTGGAATCTGGATTAGCACCATGGGGTACTCAGATCCTGAACTTTCTACATCATCTGCTTTGAACGATTCACTGTCTATGGTTGGCTTGATCTTCTTCAGCTTGATCCAGAAGCACCCAAGACACAGGATCATTCGATCCAATGATTGTATCATGAAGAGAACGATGCAGAAGTTTGACAAGACCTGAATCGGATAGGCGATATAGTTGGATCTGAATGCAAGCCAACAGAGGTAGGCATTGTGCATCCACCCCTGGATCTCGGTGGTTTCAGGCATATGCAAGCTCTCCGGCAACTGCAAGTTAGGCTTCTTGAAGTGCCACCCCTTCCAGTAGGCAATCATCTCGAGTGCGAGCATGGCGATCGAGAGGACCAAGAAGCCCCTGAGGAACCTGAACAGTAACCTGCCCTTGCCAGGCTTATCGCTCTCCGTGGAGAATCCTTGCCCGAAGAACACCCTCTTCTTGAGGGCGCCGAGCAGCGACCAAAGGCCAGCAGCCAACCAGGCAACGCAGCCGACAGCTCGATGGGCCTTGAGCAGCAAGACCCAAGTGACTTGCTTTGCGTTCCTTCCCCGGCCCTTGTCCGCCGGCCGGAAAGCGGCAGCGCCGGGGCCGTCGACCTCGAGGACCGAGTAGTTGGGATTCTGCATCGTCACGACCACCGGCGTGCCGCTTCGGATCTCCTTCGCCCACCAATCCGAAAAATCCAAGCTTGGGGCCATTTCCTTCCTCTTCGAGAAAGGATAGAGAAGAATCCCTCACAATGCTCCTCAAACCCTCATCGCCCAGATCCCAAAATGAGAACTTTCTTCCACCCCCAGCATCAGAATCAGATTTTTCTGCAAGGGAAGAACAGAACCATCTGCGCTCATGGCATTCCAAGCGCGACGCAGCTGCTCAAGAGCAGGAAGAGAGCAAGCTGGCCTCGGCTCATGGTTTTGCTCCTCCTCTGCCCTCCAAAGCTCTACAAGACAGCATTGCAGGGAAACGTATCTGCAAGTGTAAAGCTCCAAACCCGGTGGGCTCTAAACAATAGTTCTAAACAATCAAATCCACCACTGTTTTCCCTTCAGTTTTGTTCTGAATTCTGAATGTTACCCCGAGTAAACCTATTCTAAAACCAAACAAGAAAGAAAGATCTCTATC